ATGTTTGGCTAATTGATAAACAAAAGCAAACAAACTCGTCTTTCTAATTAGCCAACCACTCAAGCCTCAAGGACACAAGCTTTTGAAGTCTGCTAATTTTAAAATTAATAAATTAATTACAAAATACAGTTTTCAAAGGAAATAACCTCAAAATAACAATTTTTCACGTTTGAAAATGCAAGGATAGTGCACTGTCATAAAAAACACAAACCGATCAAGGACTGCGTGACGTCATTCGCATACCGCCATCTTCGATGTTTTTATGAACGTTTGTCTTATGGGATTGAGCAATCCTGTAAAGTTTACGATTCTTGGGTTAATCCTACAATGGGTTTTTTGTCAAATATGACAATCATGAGCCGCAGGCCTATTCTCTACGAACAGCAATTACATAGCAACCAACAACCGAGTCGCAGTTACTTTTTTAGAATAGAAAAAACGCGTTTGACAGCGACAATTGCGCAATTCTCTGTGGTCGCAACTCTCCACAGCCGTAGCTTCAAGCCTAGTTCTCATGGAGCGGAAAATCGTGCTGTGGACGCGGAATTTTGAAAATTTGTCCCCGTAGCGGAGAAATGTAAACTTTTTGCGATTTCGCAAAAAAGTTAAACTATTTTTAACTTTTGCGCGAGTTTTTATCCTCTGTCTCACTTTTTACTTCCACCTATGAGATGTATGGTACGTCATTTGATAAAAATCACTAAGACATAATGCGAAATATCCTAAATATGACTAAAAATCCGCTTCCGGAATCTCGCTTTATGTGAACCGGCAAAAATTACTTCTTGAACGGAAAGCGTTATTCCGCACCCGCAACGCGATTTTCTACGATGGCTCAGAAGGGACGACATGACTATGTTTTATTGTATTAAGGGCGGGTATTATAAAACTACTTTGAGAGTTAACTTAAAGTTAACTTCTAGAATTACATGTAATTCAAAAAGTTAACTTCAAGTTAACTGTCAAAGCAGTTTTATAATACCCACCCTAAGGGCGGGTATTATAAAACTACTTTGAGAGTTAACTTAAAGTTAACTCCTGGAATTACATGTAATTCAAAAAGTTAACTTTAAGTTAACTGTCAAAACAGTTTTATAATACCCGCCCTAAATCTCGCACTGCCAGATTCAAATACGCACTGCTAGATTTTTATGTCGCACTGCTAGATTCCTAGATTTAATCTCGCACTGCTAGATTTAAACACGCACTGCGAGATTTATGGCCGTTTGCACCAACCATTTTAAGGGAGACTTAACGATAAGGATACCTTGAAATGACAGTTTTACATGTAAAAATGACACTTTAAGGAACACTTATCGTTAAGCCTCCCTTAAAATGGTCGGTGCAAATGTCCATAAATCTCGCACTGACAGATTTAAAGACGCACTGCGAGATTTATTCTCGCACTGCTAGATTTAGAGACGCACTGCGAGATTTATTCTCGCACTGCTAGATTTAAAGACGCACTGACAGATTTATTTTTGCACTGTCAGATTTTAAGACGCACTGCCAGATTTAAATCAATTACCGCTACAAGATAAGCGTTATTGCAACTCAGAGTGGTAGTATTTGCCGTGGTTTTTGGGTTCATACATTCCAGTTAGAGACAAGCTTTCAATTACATGGATATAAATGAATATATTTAAAATGTCTACAAGCTGGTTTAGTAGTTCGTCGAAATAGTCGAAATACAAAGACTCTTACTGAAAGAATTAGATCCAGAGGGAATGTCTTTGCGCAGAAGACGACGACTGCGAAGAGGGCCAAACTTCTTGTGGCATATAGATATAGTTACGATAAATTAAAACCTTACGGTATTGCGATAAGTGGTTGTATTGATGGATATACTCACACTCACGTCACATTAGGTCTGTTTCTGCAGAAATCACAAACCAGTCAGAGTAAATTTCATTGGTTGAAACTAGTTTTCTGACTGTTTCTGACTGTTTTCAACCAATGAAATTCGCTCTGACTGGTTTGTGATCTCTGCAGAAACAGACCTATTATATGGTTAAAAGCTAGTTATACAAATAATAATCCACGAGTTATATCTGGTTTCTTTCTAACATCTGTAGAAACATGCGGAGGATATCCAAGAACCATACGTTCAGATATTTCGTTGGCGCGTCTTTAAATCTGGCAGTGCGTCTTTAAATCTAGCAGTGCGAGAATAAATCTCGCAGTGTGTCTTTAAATCTAGCAGTGCGAGAATAAATCTCGCAGTGCGTCTTTAAATCTGTCAGTGCGAGATTAAATCTCGCAGTGCGTCTTTAAATCTAGCAGTGCGAGAATAAATCTCGCAGTGCGTCTTTAAATCTAGCAGTGCGTCTTTAAATCTAAAGTCCAACAAATACCATTTTAAAGTCACGTGATTTTTCTCCATCCTTGTTGAATACATCTTGAACAGCGGTGACAGAAAAATTGAAAAAAAATTGTTGTCTAATTATTGTTCATATTATTTTTACCTGAAATAGAATCCGTCACTGTCATGAATTAGTTTGTCAAAGTTATTTTCGGAAATGATACAAAGAACAAACACAGCTAATAATTTTGACTATATTAACCTTTTTCCAACTTGAAAAGAAGCAAATAGAAAACAGGTATCATTCAAGTTCAGAATGTATTACAACGGACAAACGATGCGACAAAAGTGAGTCTCGCAACAATTGCAAGTATTAAAATTCCCATCTGATTGGTCAATACTACTTCAGAAACGCTTTTGTAAAATGCTAGTGGGAACATATCCTTAAATTCAATAGCAATTAACCACCAGTAGGTTTTTGTAGGTGATATCAACGACATAATCATAATGAACATACGTTTTTTGCCACCAATATCACGTGACTTTAAAATGCTATTTGTTGGACTTTAGCAGTGCGAAAATAAATCTAGCAGTGCGAGAATAAATCTCGCAGTGCGTCTTTAAATCTAGCAGTGCGAGAATAAATCTCGCAGTGCGTCTTTAAATCTAGCAGTGCGAGATTAAATCTAGCAATGCGACATAAAAATCTAGCAGTGTGTATTTGAATCTGACAGTGCGAGATTTAGGGCGGGTATTATAAAACTATACTTTGAGAGTTAACTTAAAGTTAACTTCTGGAATTACATGTAATTCAAAAAGTTAACTTCAAGTTAACTGTCAAACCAGTTTTATAATACCCACCCTTAGGGCGGGTATTATAAAACACCAACCAGTCAGAGTGAATTTCATTGGTTGAAACTAGTTTTCTGACTGCTTTCAACCAATGAAATTTGCTCCGCTTGGTTTGTGATTTCTGCAGAAGCAGACCTCATAACTGCGAAATTCGCATTTTTTTGACATTGCTTCGACAATTTGAAGTTTGATACATGCATAAAACGGCAAATTGTCAACGCAATGTCAAAAAAATGCGAATTTCGCAGTTATGAGTACTAACCTTATAGCTGGAGAGCTCGTTTTACAATAGGAAAAATCGGGTGTCCCATTTTTAATACTCACAACTGTACATTGCTCATAAGGCCGGTGTGTAACAAATCCACCCTTCCCTCCGCGCCAAAATACCAGTTGCTTTGACGTAGGCTGTTTAAACAAGAGACGACTTTGCTTAGTAGGTACTTAGTTATGTCACGTTATGTCGTCGGTAATGGAGGCACATCAATAGAGAGGTCTCGTGCCGTCCAAATACCGTAACGCTATTTGACAAGTATGACAGTTCTTACGGTATTAGCGTTAGCGGAGCCCGCTATCTAACGGAACTTACCGGATGCCTTACCGCAACGCTATGCTATGTCAAAACTAGTTTACGCTCCATTTGTGTCTGCAAAAACAGCAACTTCTAATTATTCCTCCATAAAAAACACGAAGGGAAAATAAATCAAGCTCAGGAATCTTCAGAATAAATAAAAGTTAGGAAACAGCAAAAAAAGTGGGGTTAGAATACTCAACTCCGCTGTCAAAATGTAAACAGAATAAGGGAGGGTATTATAAAACTGCTTTGACAGTTAACTTGAAGTTAACTTTTTCAATTACATGTATTTAAGGGCGGGTATTATAAAACTGCTTTGACAGTTAACTTGAAGTTAACTTTTTGAAATACATGTAATTCCAGAAGTTAACTTCAAGTTAACTCTCAAAGTAGTTTTATAATACTCGCCCTTAAGAAGTTAACTTTAAGTTAACTCTCAAAGTAGTTTTATAATACCCACCCTAAGGGCGAGTATTATAAAACTGCTTTGACAGTTAACTTGAAGTTAACTTTTTGAATTACATGTAATATCAGAAGTTAACTTTAAGTTAACTCTCAAAGCAGTTTTATAATACCCGCCCTAAGGGATTAGAGGATTTATACGTCTTCGTGCCCGAGAACTATAAAATACCGTCCGTGTGAAAATACCGTATTGTTAGCGGTACCGTATTAGCATAACGTCTGACACACGAGAACTTTCTATTATGACGGCGATTACCAACCGCCGATAAGCACTCCTTAAGAATGTGTATTCTCCTTGCGTAAGGAGCGCTCTTGGAATCCGCCCGGGCGTCTTTCTTGAATGAAGCCCAGCTGTTTTATTGTTACTGCAAAAAGTTCGTGTGGTTCGGGTATACTTCACCACTCTCTTTGCTCCTAACCCCAGGTAGAAAAAGCTGCTTTGACCACTTCAAATATTTTATAAAACTTTGGAGTAAGTTTTTAGGCTAAGGGCGAGTATTATAAAACTACTTTGAGAGTTAACTTAAAGTTAACTTCTGGAATTACATGTAATTCAAAAAGTTAACTTCAAGTTAACTGTCAAAGCAGTTTTATATTACCCGCCCTAAAAATAATATACTCGACTCGAACACATCGAGTATTTAGTGCAAAAATATGTGCACCAAGAGTACAAATGATGATTTCAATCAAATAGAATTTCAATGTGTAAATATATGAATACTGCACTCAGCCTAACAAATTGAAAACGCTTAGTTTTGATTTATATGCAAAAGCGCGCCAAAACAAACTTCATAACAGTTAATTTTAGGTTATATGTATGATTTTTATTATTTTTATTTTGTCTTTTAAGTGGAAGAATAAAGTTTGTCCAATGAAAACAGTTTTTAAAATATAGTTCCTAAGCTATTTAAAGTATTATCAATCATGTCGTTGCAAAATACCGGCAAATTCCGACCGGATCGGACTGAAAAACCAGATCAGCCCCAGTCCTCCTACAAGGCCCCTACAAATAAGTAATTAATTTTTTTTTTTAAATATAATATTATTTATATGATAATGTAATTATTGTTAATTAATTTAATAGGGAAGACACTTCAAAATTTCGTCTAAGCCAAGTACTTGAAAATGAACAAATCGACGCCAAATATGGTTTTGAGCGTTTAAAAGATAATGCAGAAAGGACTGGATTTCTTCTTAATTTACATTCCGTAAGTAATTGCTACTAAATCCTATTTGTGTTTTATACTTGGCCTATTTCTAGTCAGAAATAGTGGATGAAGACAAAAGACTTTGTGCGGCGGTCGATTTCTATTTTATGGAAGAAGATGGGACTAGATTTAAAGTTTCCTATCCCTTCATGCCTTATTTTTATGTGCTTACAAAACGGGAATTGATACAGGAAGTTTCCCAGTTTTTATCAAAGAAATACAGTGGGACGATAGGGAAAATTGAGACTGTAACCAAAGAAGATTTGGATTTGGTAAGATATTTGTTTGAAAATAATCTAAATCAAGCTAAGTATTCAGCAAATGAATTTAAAGTATTAAGTATTCAATTAATTAAATATACTTACAGTAACTATAAAAGTACAATATTTTTCAAATGTACTTGAAGTAGGTATTAAAAGTAAAAAAAACAATATAAGTAGCAGTACATATTAGGGCTCGGAATTGTATTCGAATAATTCGAATATTCGACTATTCGACTATTCTAAATTCAACTTTTTTGTTAGTTAGTAAATTCGACTATTCGAATATTCGACTATTCGAATAGGTATTCGAATATTCGACTATTCGAATTATTCAACTATTCGAATATTCGATTATTCGAATATTCAAATAGTTGAATATTCCAATATTGGACTATTAACCCTCTGTAAATTTGCCATTTAGAAAACATCTAAATTATTTTAGTTTTTCTGACTCTGCAATACTCTGCATAAAAAATCAAAAATTCGCTTCGTCATAGAACGTTCTTTTGCGGGAAGTAGAAACTTTTATCAAGAAAAGAATGATTGTTAGTCGAAAAACGTCATTTTTAAAGTCATTTTCCATTTTCTTCTCTTAATTAGGCCCTCTATCAATATTTGACTATTGGAATATTAGACTATTCAAATATTCGAATATTCGACTATTTGAATATTCGACTATTCGAATACTTGAATTTTAAAAATTCCGAGCCCTAGTACATATTATATATTATCATTTTCAGTATACAGTATTTAGAATAAGTTTTAGGTTTTATATGCATTTAAGTACTCAGAAACTTGATACTGCATACTTTGTTGCATTTTTGACAGTAATGTGATGCATAACTGCATTCAAAATTGAGTGGTAAAGTGCAATTTCACTTATGTACTACCATGTAACAACCATTATCAGTTCTTTTAGATTTTTTCCCTTATGCAAACATTATTTCCTAAAAAATACTCCAACCGAGACTCAAACTAGATACACCAAAGAAGTACATAAGTACTTAGAGTACATATTTTAAGTAAAATGCTGAATAATAATAAGTAAAGTAGTTTCAATACTTTAATCACTTTTGGAAACTACTTTTTAAATAAGTATTAAAATTTTCAGTACATTTTTAAGTATAATGTACTTAGTACTTAAAATAAATTGCCAAATTCAAGTACCAGTACAAGTACTTTTTTAAAACTCTAAGTATTGATTTTTTTTTCTCCTTATAAAAGTTTCTGATTCTCAAGTAAATTATTTAAAGTATCAAGTTCTGATATTTTACTTTAAGAAGGTATATTTTCCTAATCAGTACCTTAGCTTGAAATCAATTAAAAGTAATTATTAGCAGGGTTGGAAATGATACTGTATAAATAGTTTCATGTTCTATGATTCTAGAACAGCAATACCACATGCCTGCCAGAAAATGGCGTTAAATGATTCATATATGTCGCTTTTTTGTTGTAAAGTCCTGCAAAAAAAAATTGTCGCGTTTTTTTTTTAAATACCATGGTTACCTTGTATGAATAATTTGTCGCTTTTTTGTCAGGCAAAAAAAAAATGTCGTCTCTATTAGGATAAGAATCGTTGAAAATTTGAACTTTCTATCTAAACTGGTGGACAGTTGCTTTGCAACATGGAAAATTTTACCCAAATTCAAATCTCGATATTTTCGGAACGGAAAGAGATATCGAGTTGCGGTATTCGGGAGGTTTTTCACCAACTCTTTGAGAACACGCACAAGGTTTGACCGGTATATTTCTTTCATTTGTGCACTTATACAGGGTGAGTAAAGGAAGTCATGTTTTTTTGGCAAAGTTTGGGGCTATGCCAGATTCTCAATTTTTGATCTTGGAAATTTTTATATGCATCTTTTTGGTCTTTGGACTATCCCAAAAAAAGTAATTTCTCAATTTTTTCGAAAGTTGGCTATAACGCAAATTATCGAACTTTTAAAAAAGGGTTACATTTATCCCTAAAAAAGTGACTTTTTCGGGGTTTCGCTTGAGAATGGGTATTTTTTTCTCATATTTTTGCACGAAGTAGAATTTCTTGGCCCCAAGAAAATATTGAAGCACTCATTGAACTTATTGCCTACAGTGGCGTGCAGAAAAAATTTGCTTTTGACATTATGTTATAAAACCGAATTTATAAATTAAATTATACTATGCAATTAAACAGCTTAATGAACAAATCCAAGTTACTATACTCTTTATATAGGAGTTTATTCCAGTGGCGTAACACCAAGAGCATCCAAACATTCCGGTATAGGATTCGGCACCTACGTATATTTCATTGGTCCGTTTGAATTCGAATCGCCAATTAATGCGGAGAGCCGAAATCCGTACTGGTATGTTGAACGGTGCTGAGCATCAGGTCGAATGGTTCTGTAGCAACAGGTATGTGGATTGCCGAATCTAAGGTCAAAATGTTAAATAGTGCCCAGCTGCAGGTTGGAATGTTACCCCGTCAGCGCGGCACAAAATCAGCGAACATAAGTTTTATTCACTTGTTGCACATGAACTGAACAGCTTCGTTTACTGTTCAGTACTATGTTTTCCTCTAAATGCATGGTGAATTTGTTCACCACATTGAAAGTGTTTGAATGATTCAGACAAATTCATTTTGCATATAAAGCACAAGGACGCATAAAGCCACGTGCCAAACAGACCGCATCCGCTGCAAAATTTTACGAAGGGGGTGGACAGCTGATTTAATATAAAAACCGTGCCAAACGCATGGTTACATTCTGACCTGATGCTCAGCACTGTTTATAACATTTTGACCTTAGATTCGGCACTCAACTGCTGATTTTCCTTTTTTATTATTTCCTTGATCCACTTTTTTGTAAGTCCTATGATGGCATACAATAACATATCTAAAAATGTATTTTCTAAAGTCTATTCGTATCCAAGAAGATTCTTTAAGAAGATTCTACGTCATTGAATTGACATTGAACACAAACCTGCATTTGAATCTGGTATAATTATTCTTTGCTGACTTCACATTCCAATTCGTATATGTTATATCATACTCTTCTATCCAACGCTTTATATCATTTTCCTCTAAGATGTTAGCACGGTAAATTTGTTCACCACATCGAAAATGTTTAAATGATCCAAGCAAACTCATCCTGCATGTTTAAGCACAAGAACACATGAAGCAACGTGCCAAATAAGCCGCATCCGCCGCAAAATTGTAGCAAACAGGAACAAGAACGGGGTGGACAGCTAATTTAATATAAAATAGCTTTTAAAAACCGCGCCAAACGCATGGCAACATTCTGACCTGATGCTCAGCACTGTTTAACATTTAAACCTTAGATTCAGCACTCCACATGCCTGTTACTACTGAACCATTCCGACCTGAGGCTCAGCACCGATCAACATTCAAGTACGGATTTCGGCGCTCCGCATTAATTGGCTTTCTGAATTCAAACGGAACAATGAAATATGCCTAGGTGCTGAATCCTATACCGGAATGTTTAGATGCGCCCCGGCCCGATCCTCTTGGTGGATGCGTACCTTCAAAAGGTATCTGCAAGCGTATCGCGCAGCAATAACGCTATCTCTTTCGCACATTTTTTTTTCAAAAAAAAGCTACCTATGATAGAAAAAAAATCGAGGTCAAGCCAAAAGACATTATTGTGGGAGGTTATTCAGAGAAGGACCCTTTTATCCAAGCGGGTACGCCAATGCTGAATAACAAGGTTAAAAAATTCCAGATGAAAGATGAACAGCAGAAAAATACGAATTTTTAAGTTCTTCCCATCAAACCAAAAGATGCTCTTGGTGTTACGCCACTGGAATACACTCCTGTATCAAGAGTAGTAACTTGGATTTGTTCATTAGGCTGTTTAATTGCATAGTATAATTTAATTTATTAATTCGGTTTTAATTACATAATGTCAAAAGCAAATTTTTTCTGCACGCCACTGTAGGCTTAACGTTCAATGAGTGCTTCAATCTTTTCTAGGGGCCAAGAAATTCTACTTCATGCAAAAGTATAGGAAAAAATACCCATTCTCAAGCGAAACCTCGAAAAAGTCAGTTTCTTAGGAATAAATGTAACCCTTTTTTAAAAATTCGATAATTTGCGTTATAGCCAACTTTCGAAAAATTCGAGAAATTACTTTTTTTGGGATAGTCCAAGGATTAAAAAGATGCATATAAAAATTTCCAAGATCAAAAAGTGAGAATCTGGCATAGCCCCAAATTTTGCCAAAAAAACATGACTTCCTTTACTTCCCTGTATAAGTGCAAACTGAAAGAAATATACCGGTCAAACCTTGTGCGTGTTCTCAAAGAGTTGGTGAAGAACCTCTCGAATACCGCAACTCGATATCTCTTTCCGTTCCGAAAATATCGAGATTTGAATTTGGGTAAAATTTTCCATGTTGCAAAGCAACTGTCCACCAGTTTATAATAGAAAAAAAGTTATGACCTTTCAAAATTTTCAGAAATCTAAATCCTAAGGTTTGCCTGGCAAAGAATCAGAATCAGAATATCTTTATTTGTAAAAAAACATACAAAAGAGAATAGGCTACTGACCTGTCAAAAACGAAATTCAATATGGAAGTTCGGGTCAAGCAATGTGTTGTTTAATTAAAATGCCAGCGATTTGCATCGTAATTGCGTGTGGAAGTCGAGGTCACAGGAAAAATGTGAAATTTTATTCAGTTCCTGCTATTTTAAATCATTGGCAACGCAGGGCTTTATGGATTGCTGCAATTAAAAGAAAGGATCTAACAGAGGCTCGATTTTCCCTTAATAATAATACCTTAAAATATTCACTCTCTATCTCAGAATTTATTAATAAATTAAAAAATACGTAGAAACAATATAAACACTATAAATATCACTTTGGAAACAATAAGGGCCAGAACACTAAAAAATACGTAGAAATACTAAAGACTATAAAATTCACTATGAAAACAACAATGGCCAAAACCAATAAAAAATACGTAGAAACACCAAAGACTATAAAATTCACTTCGAAAGCAACAAGGGCCAGAACACAA